CTATGTAAATATTTTCATTTGATTTTTTCGGGTAGACTAGGATAAATGTGGAATTTTTAGCAATTTTTTTGAAACATTTAAAACGAAAACATACACCTGAATATGAAAAATTATTTTTTGATCAAGTTGAAGATTCATTAGAAGTTGTTAATGGTAGTAATCATCGACCAACAACAGAATTATCATCAAGTAACACCAAACAAAATCGTATTGCAAAAGGAAAACATTATTTCATCTACAATCTGATGTTACAGAGATAATAATCCATAAAATTCAAATATTCATTGTTATCTACGTAGAAAGATTATCTGAAAAACATAATCTGTGTGCGTTTTTTTAGACTTTAAAATAATTATCAAGTTTTTGAAATATCATCTACAGATGAGAAGCTGTTAAAAGCATGCGTTCCACAGAAGCCACAAACAAACAGCTAATAAAAAAGATTAAACTAGATAACATCTCATTAAGTGCCCAGTACACATGTACTTAGTATTGGTACTATAGTGCAATATATATTACGAAGTATTCAGTAAACCAAAGCGAAGAAGAAGTCATTCTTATGCCTGGAACGATCTTGCGCGTCAAATACATGCGATCCGAACCGACTGGTCTCTCCATCGTGCATTTGGAAGAATGGTAAATCTTTATGAAACATTCTGTACTGTTTGAAAAGTTGATGCGTTAGTTATGAAGCAGTCTAAAGATCTAAGACATAACTTGAGCGTAGATGAAGTCTAATTGATGAGAAATTGACACGAGTTGGAATTGAGAATTCGTCTAATTTCTACGGTTTCAGCGAATGAAATATACTAATTGCATAGCGTATTCTATTTCGAAGTGATGCAAGAGTTATAGTGTACTCGAACATAAATTGCTCTCAAAGTTAAGTTACATTGTTGGAGTCAGAGCTACTCGGCTTGCCAGATCACAGTTAATTTTGAAGTACCAGCCAGGCCTGATTCGCTTATTTTATATTGCACCAGGTTAAGATAGTAGATCGACTCAAATGTATTGATTCAGTGTGAGTGTGGGCGGGGGTGCGGGCACACACACACCCTTATTGTTATTAAAATATAAATAAATAACTGAAGCTAGAATGATATTTTAATGTGAAGTTGTGGGAATTATTGGATTTGAAACGCTAGACACACTCATCCGCCTAATGACAGCTCTGCTTGTAATCACGATACAAGCACATTGTTTTAACAATAGCTTTTAGTAGATCTGTAGGAAAGTGACACTCTCAAAACGATGAGTGATACCTAAAATGCTTCGATTTTATAAAAGATGATAGACAAGAAGCATGTTGCATCTCTGATCGATAATAGAGTTTTAGAAGGAATCATATAAATGAAATAGTATCCTAATTGTAGCATTATTAGAGGCTAAAATATTTTCACAATATTTGTTTGTATTAGAAGAAACAACTATACAAGTTTAATACCTATCTTTAAACAAGAAGTTCGTAATTGAACAATCAATGTTTCCTCCAAATGAAATAATAGCTCTGTTAGAAAACTTTTAGGCATCTGATTATCAAAACCATAGGTTGATAGCTTTTCTACGAGTTTTTAATGTTATACTCTCAAAATGCAACTAAAATACATTCTAAAATTGAGTAAAGGATAGCACAAAAATTAGACAAAGAATATTATCATACCGCATGTTCTAGTTTATCATCTAATGAAAATAGCATTTTTCTACGATTTCACATAAACATGCGACCTTATG